ACATTTTAGAAGATGATTCCTAAGGCCTTATGGATATGAAATCACCAGACAAGAATTGTTCAAACTCTTTAGTATTTCAGAAATAAAGCAGTAGCAACAAAGTTCTTGCCTAGTTATTGAAATAGTCTAATTTTGATAAAATATAATTTGTATATATTTACTAATAATCAAATTGTTTATTAAAAAATAAAATAAGGTATGTCCAGCTTGCCCTGACCATGTTTTAGAAAGTTTTTAATGTTCCATATAAACAGGGCCAAGGTTGCATATTAAATTTTTAAATAAAACATATTTATTTATTCTTTTTCCATGACAATGTCTCTTATAATGCTGCACTATTTTTGTACTCTGCAGTTTCTTTGGTACCTTCTCTATTGTAATGATACCTATATGCTCTCTTCTTTTTTCATGAACATCATGAAGTAATTCTCAAATCCACTCACTTTACCACATTATATTTTTTTAATGTCAATCTTCTACACTGGTCTCATTGAAACCTCAATGTTTATAGAAAACATGAGTTAAGGATCCACTGGAAGGGTGGATCTAAATCAAAATTATCTGTATCTACACTGTGGAATCACTGGTCTCTGAGATGCAACTACTGTGGTAATTTTGTTAGAGTGTTTAAAATGTGGGATTTGTGATGAAGGTAAAGATTCTGTTGGAAACAGATTTATTATACAATCACTCCATCACCCAGGAGAATGTCAATATGTGGAAGCTCTTGGGTGAATAAAGAGGGACAGGAAGAATGAAATATTCACATCAGGGATACTATTAGCATAACAAATATTGTGTAAGCTTGCAAGGTACTCTCCAACCTTGAAAAATAAGTATAAGATTGCTTTCAAAGTTTTTGGTATAAATAAAATTTAGAAAAAATTAGGAGAAGAGAGGGATTCTCTTCTATCTGCTTTCACATCTGTAGGAGTATCAAAATATTTTTCCTATTGGCTTGTGAGCCCACTCACACATATATATTTTTAAGATTAATTCTTTCTTTAGATGAATTTTATTTTTGCTGTACTGGTTGAAAGGATGCTTCAGAGTAAATATGTGACCTCAGCCTTTTTCTAAGCATGGCATTTTCTTTATTCAGTGGAAAATAAAATAATTTTAAGAGGAATTTAAAATTATATTTAAAGTAGAAGACAGAACTATTTAAAGAAAACATATACATTTTTATGCCAGCACAGGTGTAATTTACAGCCTTTTAAATAGTTAATGAACATGGTATGAGCAAAAAAAGAAAAAAAATGTAAAGGATTTGATCTGAAGGATTTGAACCCCTTTCTTGTTTTAAAAAGACAGGAAAACTTTAAAGCTGCATAGTTACTCATGCATGTCAGGCTTACATTTGCTCAGCTGGGGCAACCTGCATTTGCTTAGCCACAGATGGATATAAAGATGATGCTATTCATCTGAAACAATGATCCTTTTACTTATCATAGCTTCTCTGTGATGTACATGTCCCATTTAAATGAAATGATCTTCACAGTGTCATAAAATATTCATTAAAAATTTTCAGGCAACTTGCAATTCAAAATGTTTCACAATATCAGCTATGGATTAAAAGGGTTTTGCTTGGTTTGATTTGGTTTCTTAACCATTTCTTAACCAATATTGTTTTTACATGTATATGTATTTATTCAAGAATCAGTCCTAGGCATTTATTTCTATTTTCAAATCCTGCTTTAAAGCCACATTTTGCACTTGGTTTGTGGCATAAATCAGAATCAAGGGTCCCTAATTAATAGACCTGCAAAAATTTGGTGTAGTATAATTTGGATTTTCAAAGGAGAAATTCACAAAATATTCAATGACAGTTTGAATTTTTTAGGTATGAGTGTTAATTTATATGGGGAGAAAAAAAAGGTAATGGATGTGGAAAACCATGGGACCAAGGAGAATATTTTCAACACACAGCATGAAATACCAATACCATTTTTCTGTTAGTTTTCAAAATTAATTCACTCTGGAAAATGAGTTTGGGGCTGATGTTAATAGCAATGAAGCTGAAATATTCCAGCTGAGGCAGGTGTCCTGTTGGGAAGCCCAGACAGGGCAGATTCAATTCCCAAGGCTCCAGCTGAGCTTCTTGGTTTCATGCCAGTGGTGATTGAAGGTCCTTTTCCTTTGGGAGGCACTCCACCAACCTTCAGCCATCATTCAGAGCTAATTTCTGCACATCCAGCAGCCAGGTCTGTGGAATGCCTGGTAGAACCGGACAAAGCTGTTGTTGCACATCAAATGTTTGGAGACTTTGTCCTTTGTTCTCCTGATATAAAGAACTTATTTTTTTGTAGCTACAAATCAGTTATGGCTTTCACTTAGACGAAGTGACCAGCTCATGCCTGCTCTGAAAATACTTCCTGATGTTGGATGGAGCAGAAAATGCAAATTCTTCTCTTTAGGAACACACAGAGGAAGATGGATTGCAATTCCCACTGTACAGCAACTTTCTTATCTTGCATTGTGATTCAGTGATTAAAAAGATCAGTGTACCTCAATTCCTTCTGTCCCCTCTTCCTGTGAGAGAGTGCTAAATCCCTGGGTGACAGGTGACAAAGACTAAAGAGGCCAAAAAAGTTCCTTCCGCTGGTGATTAGGAGGAGCCTGTGACAAAGGGCTGTCAGGGAAGAAACTGTGGGACAAAATGTATAAAGAAAGGAGCTTTTATTCATCATTTTCCTGAAGAGATTAATTTAAGGCATTTTCACTTCATTACTTTGAGTGTTTCTCTTGACACCTTTCTCAAATTCTGTACCTCTCCAGATTCATTTTATATGCAATCATAGAAACATAGATCATTCAGATTGGAGGAGATCTCTGAGATCCTCAAGTCCAGCACTGCAAAGGCCTCCACTAAACCATGTCCTCACATTCACATTCCTTTGGAACACTTCCACTTTTGCATGCCACAATAGAAAATTTGATATTTAATACAACATGATTCTTTCAGTCATCATTATTTCAGTCCTCTTGAATCTTGTGAATTTGATGAGGATATAAATGATGTATTGACTCATGACTGTCTCAGGCAAGAGGAAAAACATTTACCATGAGCTCTGCCTGTCCTCTGAGAATTTTTATTTCAATTATAACTACAGATTTTGTGACGCAGGCATAGCTCCAGAAAAAAACAGAATGAGATCAGATACAGAATAGTTTGGGGTGTTTTTTAAAGAAAGAAAGAAAAAAAAAAAAAGCTTGGCAAGAAAAAGTGGCAGGTAGTGAAGTAAATTGAATTAATTTGTGGTATAGGGCCTCAGAAAGCTGGAAATGTGTAGGCATAAACCATATGAGCAGCATCTCTGCTAGCTGCCTCAGCTCCTAAGAGCAAAGTAGGCAGATCACATCAGACATGAATTTTTTCTTCATAAACCGCTAACAGCAATCAGAACAGAGGTGGCTAAAACTCTGTCAGGATTAAAAAAAAAACCAAACAACAAAACAGGCATCTCTCCTGGAAATAAAAGTGTCAAACGTGTATAGTGCTTAAAAGTAATGCATCTGAAAACATATAATACAGAAGACATGAGTGTGGCTGTAGATAGATTTATTGCTCTATAATATATATGGACTGAATGAGTTTTTTTTTACACAGTTACCCTCTCTGGGTATCTATGAATTTATAATGCTGCTTCTTAGCATTTATATTTGTCTACACTAAAGATGCAATAATTTATTAACATGCTAATAAATGTTTAATACTTCTCCTCTTTATCATTTTATAAAACTTTCTCCCTAGCCTCTGTTTCTTGAAAATATGAGAAGGACAAGCATGAAACTAAAACAATGCTGTTTGAGAAGTCGGTGTATTTATATGCAGATTTTTAAAATGTCTCTCATCTTGCTCATAACCTCTGTTGTGCATGTTGTTGAAAGCAGCTGAGATGTTCAAGACATGAGGCAAAATCTGATGTTGGATTTCTTGTTTTGTGACTGATAGTTATGTTTCAGGTAGGCTACCTTTTTAAACAACTACCTATATAGTAGCTGTAGATTAATTGTAATGCCAGAAAAAAAATAGAAAGAAAATAGTTTAAAAATCAAGCATTATTTTTTAAATTCTCTTTGACTTTTTTTCCCTTTCTATTTAATTAGAATTCACATATTTAACTTTTGAAAGGTTTTTATTTACAACTGTCATTGTTTGGGAGACTCAAATAATTTGAAATTCAAACTTATGAGGAAAAAACAACAAAGAAAATGCAACTTCCCAAGTTCATCTAATTGCTATCATGTTTCAGTAGTCACTGAATACCCAAGTTTACTTTCATGGCTTTTCAAGGCCAATGAAATTCAGATGTCATGTTGAACAGGACATGAAAGTTTATGTGCTTCTACATAAATTGGAATTTCACTTCCAATTCAGAACTTTCCACCTATTTCACTTTCCACTTTCATAGCTTGCCACCTATTCCAAATGGCAGAATGCAGTTTTCCTGAAGTCTCATGTAAATTTCCTAAAAGCAGTTAATATTCAGTCATGAAACAGTCTCTTCAGAAGAAAGGTTCTCTGGGTGGTTAAGAGGAGACTTCATCTGTTGCATCAAATTCAATGAATTAGGTATTGCTAAATACACCAGACATCAAATTAGGCACTCCAATAACTGGCACTTTGTAGCACTGTGAAGACCTTTATGAATCAGTCTTGTAACTCTTGTTTTATGTTTTTGTCATGGCAATTTTAATCTGAATGAAATATCAGATTAACAGTATTTTCCAAGTGTTAAAAACTTTGGGCACAGGAGTGGTACAAAGAAGTTGAAATTAAGACAATTAAAGAGGTTTAATACATATTTTTCTTCATTTATCAGCTCTGAGTTATCAATGTAGAACCATTGCATTGTTGCAGAAATAGACATAGAACAGAATTGCGCTCACAATCTGAACTGATACTTGCATGAGTGACTTATCCATGTGTTCTTCTGGCTGTTTCTATTTAATGGTGGTGATATAATTATTTTTTCTTCCCTCTCTTTCCTCTGCAGCAATGACAATGCAGTTCATTAGCCATCGATTCCCTGACTACCATGACCCAACTATAGGTGAGTACAGGCTTTTCCCCCCTTCATCCCTTTCAGTTTCTCTGCCTGTGTGAGACTGCGAGATGTTGTATTTGCTGGGAATATCTTGATGAAGGCAAGAATTATGAATTTGACTGGCTGCTCTCAGAAGATTAATTTATTACTTTATAATGCTATATTACATTAAAGAATACCATATTATACTGAAGAATACAGAAAACACTTACTGAATGCTAAAAACTCATAGTTCTTCCCAGAGTCACAACACAGCTTGGCCCTGATTGGCCAAAGAGTCAAAATAATCCACACCAGAATCCAATAAAACAATCACTTGTAAGTAAACAATCTCCAAACACATTCCACATGTGAGCACAACACAAGAGAAGCAAATGAGGTAAACATTGTTTTCCTTTTCTCTGAAGCCTCTCAGCTTCCCTGGAGAAAAATCGTGGACAAAGAGATTTTTTCAAAAAATGTGAATACTACAGTGAGACAATGAGAAGCTGCTTTTAAAAGGTCCTTAGATAGAAGGAAGATTTGCAAACTTTAGATGACACAAAATTAAGGTATAATGACATTATGTCATGGTCTTACCATAGATATTTCTTCCTGATGCTCTTTATGCAAAACCTCTTTCAAAAACAGGGCTCTGCCATTCATGCATTTTAGCTATCAATATTGTGCATTTATAACTGCAGAATATGAAACAAAATCGCTAAAGAATATGAAAAATCCAATCTGGAGTGGGATATGTTTGTCTGCTTTTTTAAGTGTTGTTATTTTAGTGCTACTTCCTGTTTTAAAGTCTTAGCTGGCCTCCTCTAGGAACATCAAATGAGTGCTCAATTGAATAGAGTTGTGCTCCGGGATTACACAACTAACTTTGTTGGGTTTATCTACTTCATAAACTTGTGAATATAGAAATTTACACATATCTGTTTTACACTTTATGACAATACATGTTTTTATCTGAAATAATCTTTAAATGCTGAGTGACTGTCAGAACTGCATGTTTATTCATTTAAAAGTGCCTTTATTACTTAGATTTACTTATACTTACATTTATGCACACTATCCATGTGCAATGTTTAATTATAAGAAGAGAATTATGACAGAACTGGGTCCAATAAGTGGAAACTGCACTAAAATCATCTGTATTTCCAAAGACTTTGGGGGAAAAAAAGAGAAATCAATTCCTCTCAGACAAAAAAATTTTTGTTTTCTTTGAAATTTTCAAGTATTTCAAACTCATCTTTAACTTCTATAAAATTATTGTATCACTCTACAGAGCAGACAATGACAGTTTTAATTTTTATTTGTTATTTCTATAGTATTCCACATTTTCTAGATTTTAGGTCTTGGTAAATGGTCGTAACTTAAATAATGAAAAAATATCTAAATTCTTCATGTCATTAGTAATTTTATAACTGTTAAAAAATTGCGAAACACCAATGGGATGTGTCATCTCTAAAGAAGGCAAAACTACTGTGGAATTGCTACAAATTCTTTTGTTCTTCTCAGAAAAAAATTGAAATTATTAAATCTAATTGGAAAAGAGGAACATTATTAGTTATCTACATCACTAACTTAGGTACCTACATCCATCTTTATTGTTAGCTATTCACCTGCCATCAGTATTTATTCCTATATTGTATCTCATCATAATCTTAACTGATTGGTCTCTAGACACCACCACAATATGAATAATAGATAATCATGAAGAGAAGGAAAGCTTATGGTGCATTCAAAATACATACTGCAGGAATGCCTTGAGGACTTGATCACGATGAAGGTCTCCTTGGGTGAGAAAGTGTTTCTACTCAGTAAAACCAACACTAGAGAGGAGGAGAGAGGCCGAAAGTGAACAGGGAATTATTGAATTCCATCTCACCCAGCTGGCTAGACACAGAATGGAAGTACAAGTTTTTCTCTTCAGCACTTCTCTTTCTCAGAGTATAATGAGGACATCCTGAAAAGTTCTTATTATTATCTGGGCTCTAAAACACATACTAAACAGAAGAGAATGATCTTCGCTAAGTAATTATGTTTTTCCTTAGGTAAATTTGTGTACGACCCCTTGAAATTGTACATAAAACAAAAAAAAAACAAGTAGAAGGAATCACTTATTGCCACATCTATAATAACAAACACATAATTTTCAAATGGCAGCCCACTGAAAAAGCTTATACTGTTGAGATTGTTTTTACTACTTTTAAGCAACTGGTCTCAACTCACAGAATTAATCTCATGTTTGGTTACACATCCAGTAGTAGGATATTTTTACTATTTAGACCATCAGCCTAAAGAAAATAGGAGGATCCAAAATGAGTACTTCCAGGACCAAGACTATGCTGATTTCAGGAGAAAAGGTTATTCCTCTAAAATCGTGAGGAGATAGACACAGATGCTTCGTGTCATGGGGAAGTTACCATCTAAGATCAGTGATATCTCCAGGCAGAGTTTTGTTTCTCATTGTAACCCAGCAGCAGATGATGCAGAAATTACAAAACGGGCCACATATGAAATCTACATTCAAGCTGTCTGAGTGACAAAGCAAAAAATTAAATACAATTTTTCTTCTCTTTCTGAGATCCCTGATCTCTCTGGATATCAATTTATCGCCTTTGTCTTGTACCATACATTCCAGGCCCCTTCCATTCCTCAGCAATTTTTATCTTGTTTATGGAACCTATGCGTTGTCCTGAACTTTTATAGGCACCTGGCCTCACTTTTTTTTGGGATACTTCTTTGCAAATAAATAGTTCTGTGCACCTGCAATTTTATTTTTCTGGGCATTTTTAAGGAAGAGAGGTTCCTGTCGAGGTCACTGAAGGGGTGATCCTGTCCAGAAAAAAAAATTCTATAGTGTGTTTAAATGATAATCCACAGATTTCCAGTGTTAATCTAACTACTGAGACTACAGCACTTCAGCTGAGCATTGAGATAAGGTGGATTGTCTCATTTGCTTGACATGTACAAAAGACTCTAATAAATACCCACCTAATTTTTTCTGATGCTCTTGCACGACCTATTATGTTCTCTTTATTTTCTATTATATGGCATTGTGGTGGCAGTAACCATGAAGCCTAACTGTGCAAATTTAGCCAAAATTTAAAGATATAGTGCTAACCAAATTGATGTTGTCCCTCCTTGCACTTGATGGGACTTTTTTTTAATTAATTGTCCTATAACAAATAGATGGTAGTGAAATAGAGGCGCCATTCTAAACAGCATCATTGTCCCTGAAATCCCAGAAATCTATCACTTTCAGTTTTAAGGGCAAGCTGTTGATGACCCTGGGGCTACCAAAATATTGACAATCACTTTATAATTTAAAACTTTTTTCAGTGCCCATTTTAAGCATTGACATGGAAGTAGAATAATAATAGTAGAAGTAGAATAATAATTTCAGCTGGTTTTAATTTCCATTAATTCCTGTGAAATAGTTTGTTATACATACATATACTTCAAATGTGTTAATTTTGATCTTGAAAGGGCTATGCAAATAGGTTTAGAATTATTTACATGTTTTTTCTCTCTATATTTATGATTTATGTAGACTTTTGAAGAATTTAACGGATGTTGTGTGCATACACATAAATACAGAACTAGATGTGTCAGTATTCATTTAAAATATAGAGTAAATATTGATTAAAAAGTTAAATGCTACCTGAATTGCTAATTTTAATGCCGTCGCTTTGAGTTTAATGCCACTTCAAGATCAAATGTGTATAGTGGCCATATTTTAGATTTGCTACAAGCATTGCAGCTCAAAATTTTGAGACAGAAACATATTACTTTTGTAAGTAAAGGGGGAGAGGAAGGGTAAAATTTGTATTAGACTGTATATAAGAAAAACATCAGAGCTTAGCACTTTGTGAAAATTAAATTATTTTAGAGCGCATTTAATATTTAATTGTAATCAACAATGGGCATAAATTCCAAGTGGCGGTGGATGTGATAATTTTCTGGAACAAATGGCTGAGAGCAATTTACAGTCTGCACCGTCTTTGGCAACATCACAGAGAGTTAATGCAAGTGGAGTGTCAGGAAAGGAAACACGACACAGAGCAGCAAACTGGACAGGCTCCAAGACGCTCATTGACCATGTGACTAATCTTAAAATGAATACATAATGCAAACGAGATGCGAGAGCAGCTTCCTGTTTTGTTGAGATATCACTGCATGAGATTGTGTCAAATGAGCAGTTGAGGGCATTAAGGCTGCGTCAATGTCAAACTCTAATTGAAATGGGTGTGGGATGGAAAGCACTCTAGCATTAAGCACATGAATTTCCATGAGGTTCCCTAACGAAGTGCTGCATTCACCAATGCATCAAATAAAATGCATTTACTCATCTTTAATAAGATGTTGGAAGCACGGGGGTGAATTTCACACCAAAAAAAAAAAAAAAAAGGAAAACCGAGCTGGAAATATTCTAGGTTTATATAATGAGCACCAAAAAATGTTTGTGATATAAAGATTGTATCGGTTTTGAAGGTACAATAATGAAAAAGTATAAAGCAAGGGAAATACAAACTCATTAAAAATTAAAGAGGACAAAGGTGGGACACATCTGCTAGATCTGGGGAGAGGCATCTTGCCACAAAAGTTCTATTCACATTTATATTTAGGGTACAAATAGTTTCCAGAACATTTCTGCTCTTATATAAAATGTGAATGCATGTGTAGACCATCCCTAAATTAATTCTCACTCTTTTTCTTTATATAGAAAAGAAATATTTAGGTTGGACTGAGCACATCACAACTAGATTTGAGCCCCAAAATTATTTGTTTTCTTTTTTTTCCTTTTTTTTTCTTTCATTCATCATTCTCCATATATTTATTGGCCTTATCTGACGTGGCATAAAAAATTCATATAAAATGATCAATTTGTCTCCAAGGACTGTCTCCCAAGGGTATTCACACTGATTATGTAGATGTAGCAATATTGCCTCTATTTTCCATATTCATCATTGTTCAAAACAAGAAATGAAGAATGTACAAGAATACTGGTGCAT